ATTTTTTGTGATTCATATTTTGGCTGCGCCGCAATAACAATAAATGACATTGACTTTGGTGCACCAAATCGCATATAATTAAACGAGCGGAGCCGTTCATGAATTCGGTTCGATTAAAGCTCGTTTATTAACGTTAACGACCTGAATCGAACAACATAAACAAACTTGTTTAGTTAACAAATAAGCTCGAGCTTTGTTCGCGAACGTTCGTTTAAATAATATATTTATTATAAATATTATATATACATATAAAATTATAATTTATAAATAAATAAAATATTAATTTAAAATATATAAATAAAATAATTTTAAATTTTCTCTATAATTTATATATAAATTTAAAAAAATAAGACAAACGAGCTCAAACGAGCTTAATCGAACTTAAACGAGTCGAACACGAACACGAACTCAAACAACAAAAAAATTCTTAACGAGCCGAGCTCAAACACTACGAACGAGCTCGAAAACTTAACGAACGAACACGAATCTTGTTCGCAAACATTAACAATCACTTAAAATTTGACTCGATTCGGCTCGGATCATTAAGAGCTCATAGACCGCACCAAAAACATAAAATAATATTTTTGTAATGTCAAATTTGCGCCGCTAAAATAAATAAAAACTATATTTTTATTTTTATTCTACCGAAAATTGATTGTACGGATCTAACATTTATGGGGCTTGGGAAAAAACAAATTTAGGGCCGCAATAATTAAATGTTTTTTATATTAAAAAACTTATTATTTATTTTGAAATTAATAATAATGTTATTATACTATTCAATATTACTTTTTAAAAATAAAAATATTATTAATAATTTTTATATTAAATTATTATTTAAATCAAAATTTAAATTCAAAATTCAACAAAACTTTTCAAAAGAAACCGGCCCATGTTGCCTTAACAACTAATAAATTTATTGAGGCCCAAATCTCATTAATATTCGTTAAAAAGCCCAAAAGAACCCATAATGTTTAGAAGCCCCAGAAACAAGAAAGTGACTTTATTTCTTTTCTCTTTTTTATTTTAAAAAAAAATATTAATATTGAACCATAGATTTTTTCTTTTATCCTTTTAATAAAATATCCTTCCTCCGTTCCAAAAACTATAGTTTGGGTTCTGTTTAGCACGAGCTTTAATAAATATTAATATTATATTAATAATGGGTAAAAAGTACGGGTAAAAATTTTTTTGCCTTTGTGAGTATATTAGTTAAAAAAATAGTGACAATTGTGTAATAATAATAAAAAAAATAAAAGTAATTTTATATTGATATGATTATTTATGGAAATGAGACTATTATTTTGGGACGGACAAAAATGATAAACCAGACTATTGTATTGAAACGAAGGGAGTATATATTATTATTTTTTTTATAAAATTAGTTTATATACAATTTGGTTTCTATAATTTTTAAAATTTACCATTCATATTTATATGTATATATCAACACACTCTTATACTTTTGCTTGTTTTTTTTTTAAATGTTTTCTCCCATTTTTGTTTTTTATTTTTCTTCCCGAGTGTTTATGTTAGAGCGACGGCAATGGCTCTCAGAATTACGGCTTCACCATCTGAATCGAAGTTGTCTTCTCCCCTTTAAGGGTGTGTTTGTTTGGGGGTTTGGATTTTGAGTTGGAATTTGAATAGTAAAAATTTTAAATTTGAATAGTTGTATGATAGTGATATAAATAGATGTTGACGTGATATTTTGAATGTAAAATTGATTTTTAGTATAATATAAAAAATAAAAAATATGTATTTAGTTTGATGTTTTTGGGGAAAAAAAATTGAATGAATAATGTAAATCTAATTATATAGATATGTACATGGGTGCACAACAGGGGTGCACAACAGGGGCGGATTTACACGGGGCTAGGGTCAGCTGACCCTCAACTTTCAAAAATATATATATTTTTTAGCGTGAAAAATAATAAAATTATATGTTTTTTTGTCATACAAATTTGTGTTTATTTAATTGGGTACGAATTTTAATAAAAGTAAGTAATAATTGTTATTTTTTTTATAGTAAAAAAAAATATAAAAATATAATAAATTTTTACTTAAAAAGAAACAAAAATATTTTTACTGCTGGTTCCGTCACTTGTACACATGGTGACATATGGCCATGTTCGAAATGCCACCGCTATTCTTTTCGTTGAACACGGTCGTGTTTAAAATATAAGTTGAATGTGGATCACTGCTGTAGCTCTTATGTTTTTCCATTCCTTCCATCATTTTAGGCTTTTATTTCCTACAAATTTTACTGCACTTTTTATGACTAAGTTTACTGTGCTTCCTTTGAGATGCCTTGATTGGAGACACGATATTATGCATGGATTGGGTATATCATGGCGATATTTGTATTTGTATAATTTTTTATACAAATATCTCTTTATTATATTACAATAAACTAATTAAAATATTTTTGTATTTTTTTTTTAATTTATATTACGTTTTAATATAAAAATTAATATTCAACATCAATGCGCAAAAAGTAAATGAGACCGTTAGAGTCGAACGAAAATTGTATTATTTTTTAGGTAAAATTGCTTATAACTCCTCTGTGGTTTCGAAATTCAGCGTAAAATCTTCCTGTATTTTAAAAATTGCATGGTACCCCGTTATACTTTTAAAAACGTTGCATGAAACTCCACTACCATGAAACTTTCCTCGTCGTGTGATAAGAAGATGATTTCCTATCTATATGTTTTGCATGACAGAGGGGATTTTATGCAATATTTTTTAAAGTATAAGTGAGCATCATGCAATTTTTTAAAGTAAAATGGGGATTTATGCCGAGTTTCAAAACTACAAAGTGGTTTCATGCAACATTTTTTAAAGTATAAGGGGACGTCATGCAAGTAGATGGGGAATTTACGCTGAATTTCGAAACTACAAGGAAGTTATGGATAATTTTGCTTTTTTGTTTTTAAGTTTTTCAAAATTATGTCATATTTATTTTTTTATTATCACTGTAATTATGTATATTTTATTATTTTATTTACAGTAAAATATTTTATTTATTTAAATTTTTATTACTTATAATTTAAGAAATAATAACAATTTTGATACTATTTTTTTTTCTACTCTTCTCATAACATTTTATCATTTTATTAATACATTTTTTTTATAATATTTTTATTTTATTTTATTTTTTACATATTTAACATTTATATTATAATATTATTATTATTTTTTAATTATAATCGCCCCAATGGAAGAGTATATACATTAGAAGTGTATAGTATTCTCTCCAATTCAAATATATTCGTTTTTTTTAATAAAATATTTTTTATTTTAATAAAAAAGACTTCTATACTTTTTCTAATATTACCATGCTAAAAAATATTAAATATTACGTTCGTCCGGCTCTAAAGGTATCGTTTACTTTTTGCGTGTTAATTTTTTAACTTAATTATTATATTAAAACATAATACACATTAATAAAAAATTGCAAAAATACTTCAATGAACGTCTTATAATAGTAATATAAGAATATTTGTAAAAAAAATTATACAAATATAAAAATATATTTAATGTCAACTACAATGACGTAAAAAATAAATTTGACCCTCAAAAGGGGACGAAGTGACTGTATATTTAATGGATTTAAGGATAAATGTGACCTTTTATTTTTATTGTACTATTACTTATAAAATATTAATAATTCCTTCCCACTCCAATATACTCTTTTTAGTATTTTATTAGTCAGTAAAAATATATAAAATATTTTGACATTTTTATCTTTGATTTTACGTATAAAATAATTGTATATAATAGTATATTTATAATTAAATAAAAATTTAAAATATTTTGATAGTATTAAATAATTATTTTATTAAAATTGAAAAATGAATAAATAGTGAGACATACAAAAAATGATAGAAATGGTTGAGATGGTGGGAGTAATATACTTAAAATTCACATTCAACAAAATACATGCTCCCTCCGTCGGTCCAAGCGCTTATTTACTTTTTTGTGTAACTGTATTTAATATTAAAAATATTTTTATGTTTATATAATTTTTTTTTTGTACAAATATCCTTCTACAATTTTTTTTTTATTTTTATATAATAGTTAATATTTAAAGATCAATACCAAAAAGTAAGTAAGATCTTAAAATCGGAATGAGGTAATTAGGGCCGACCCTGGGCCCGAGCGATAGGGGCGCCTGCCCAAGGTCCAATCTAAATAAGAGCCCATTATATATTTATGTTATATATACAATATTTATATATACATATTATTTGATTTTATTTTATTAATAGAATAATATGATTTGATGGTTAAGTGTTATAAATATATTATAAATATATTGAATAAACTTCATTTTTCATATTTCTTGGTCGATGGGAAGATGATTTCTCGTCTATATTTTTTTGCATGGTAGGAGTTTTATATAACGTTTGTTAAAGTATAAAGAAACGCTACATTTTTTAAAGTACATGAAAATTTTATACTAAGTTTAAAAACTATACGAAAATTATGAATAATTTTATCTTATTATTATTAATATTTTTTGCATAAGAATACTAAAAAAAAATGTTTTTTTTATTATTTATATTTATCATAGATAAAAAATATTATATATATATATTTAAGGACCCATAACTTTTGTTTCGTCCTGTGCCCTTCGAAAATTAGGAGCTGTAGGTAATATTCCCTCTGTCCCACATAATTTGTTCCTATTTTTTATTTTCGTCTGTTCACGTAACTTGCCCTTTCTATTTTTGAAAATATAATTATACACTTTAATCGCATTTTAAATTTTATAATTTTCTTAATTTTAATTAAATTATTTATTTATCTTAATTTTAATCTATAATTATTTTTACTAAATAATAATTACTTTTACTAATACACTTCTTGATTACTTACTAATTATACTTTACCTAAATTGTCGTGTTACGGAGAATGTTACGGAGAGAGTATAACTCAAGACCAAGACGAGAGAGTATTGGAAGCCAAAATCCAAGATCAAACCCCAAACAAACACACTCTAAAGAACCAAAACAAACACGCTCCAGTTTTCTTCAATTTTATCGTTTCGTCTGTCTCATGACGGCGCCGTTTCATACGTTAGCGATAAAAAAAGTGAACTGTAAACGACTGAAGCGCGACGATGGCTGCAGTCGAAATGCACGCCTATTTCTCTAATGCCTTTCTCAAGGTGATGATTGTTAGTTTAATAGCTTTAAGTCTCTGATTCCTGTATTTAGAAGTGATATAATCTCCCTAGATGTTTAATTCTAATTTCAATTCTGTTCAAAAGTTTGATATTTTTATTTTGCTCCCGAATCTTTGTTTTCTGCTTGTATTCGTCATAAACGCATTCCAACAGAGTACAATCTCTCAGTGTTGTATGTTTTAAGATTGTGGAGAGAGGAATTCAAGAAAGGATTTAAGAAATGGTAAAATTTAGAGCGTAAACTTTTAGATTAGCCCTAATTTCATTCCATTTGTGATTTTGATTGTAATTTTGGGAATTGGCATATTGGGGCTCTGGTCTGCTGATGGTCTTTTTTGATTATTTGCTGGAATTTGCATTTTATATGAATGTTCACCCTTTTGTGGTTTATGTTAGAATTTTTTTAACAGAAAGTGGGTAGAAGTTCAGAGGCCTGTGTTGCTCAACTTTTTAAAAGTTTTGGGGATAAACTTCACATAATCTTATGTTTACTGCCAGATTAAATTTCTACAGTGTATATTCAGTATTAACCTCCTTGTAATTGAACAGATTGTCCCAATTCAAACGCAATTTGCAGGTGTCTCCATACCCTGTCAATATTTTAGCAGAGGCTACTTCTCTGCCGAGACTAGTTACAGGGCACGTCAGTATTTACAAAGGTACTTATGAGTAAGCATGTTGGACTGAAGTTTTAGTATTTGTTCTGATGGTTTATATTAAATTGAGTACCGGAAGCTGCTGATGAGGATCGACATTTAACTATTAGAAATGGTGTATTCTTGAGAGTTGAGGGTGAGCTATGAAATCCCAATTTTTCTTTTAGAATGCTGGTGGAAACTATAAGGCATTGTGAAAAGTAGGTCTTGAGAATCGATAATATTCATATGTAATAGTGAAACCTCACTGTAATGAAGTAAAATATGATCCTGATTATTGTTTTCAGGCTAGGGTTTGCTGCACTGCCTGCCAGGATAAGTGAGTTTTTATTTTTCTTAATCAGTAGATGTTATGAAATCAAGATGGCTTGAATCTTGATTGTGAGCTTGACAGGATTATAATATAATTGTGAATATGTGTGCGGTAAAAAAAGTTAGAAATGTATCGTGGGATTTTAGTTCATTGTTTTCTGATCTTGTTATGTAGGAGTTCAAATAAAGCTATTGAAGCTGTCGTTCCAGGTGAAAATTGAAAAACTTTATGCTCTTCATTGTTTTGCACAATACTCAGAACAAATAACTCCTTTCATCTGCGCCTTTAGGTGTGAATGACGACGAAATCTTGTCTTCTTCTTCACCATCTTTTTCAATTGACGACTTCACTGTCACGGCTACAAGCTCTGCTGATAAAGATGACCAATTAAAGGTGAGATATGGCAAATTTTATTATAAGTGTTGTAATGATTTTTCTAATGTGTTTTTTTTTCACATCTTTTTGTCTCTTCACAGATAGCTGTAGAGGTATCCGGAAGCAAAACACAAGAAATTTATGATGTAGTTTTCTCGAAAATGGTTGATGATGCGCAGCCGATACCTGGATTTAGAAGAGTTAAAGGAGGTAAATTCTACAATTGAGTAAGCGCGAGTTACATTGTTCAAGATCATGTCTATAAAAGTCATTCTCCGTCTTCATCTGTTATGATGACGAACTTTTTGTTTAGTTTTTCAAGAAGTTCCATTGTTGCACTCTAACTTTATCTATGATGTTTTTTTGTTTTTTTTTTCTTTTTTTTTTTTGCATTATTCCTTGCACCGAACCAACATGGAAATTCCAGGGAAGACACCTAATGTAAGTCCCAGAGTGCAATGATCTTTAAATTTTTAAAAATTTTAATATCTGAAAATGCTGTGTAACGGGATCAATCTAATCTGTTAGGGTGTGTTTTTTTGTGCATTTTAGTTTTTGGGTTTGGATTTTTGAATAGTAAAAAATTGAATTTGAATAGTTGTTTGATGTGATATAATGTTATGCTTTGAATGTAAAGTAAATTTATAGTATAATATAAAAAAAGAAAAGTAACTGTTTGATTGATATTTTTGGAGGAAAAAAATAATTTGAATAGTAAAAACTTGTGGTAAAATTCACAAAAGAACATAACCTAATTCAGTTATTGTCTTGCTGAGCACAAAGAACTCGATATATTACAGGTGCTTTTAGTTATTGGCTTGTTTTATGGCACGGTTCACATCACGTTTCCACATGACATTGCAATGCAGATACCAAAACACATTCTTCTGGAAATACTTGGACCGTCAAATGTGTTTGAACAAGTCATTCGGAAAGTAATCAACACGGCAATTTCTGAATACGTAGCTAAGGTTTGTTCTTTCTTCTTGTTCAACAAAAGTTGAAATCACTGTATTAGGAATCTTCTGAAAGTGCCCCGAATTCCTATTCAGTGCTGTAGTGCTCGGTAGTAACATTCTTCCAAACTCGATTTTATATTGAAAAAATAAAAATCAATTGTTATCTTCCGTGCAGGAAGGTCTAAAAGTTAGTGAAGATCTACAAATTGAACAGAGCTTAGAAGATCTCATGGCTGGATTTGAACCTGGCACCAAATTCAGATTCGATGCTGTTGTTCGCAGCCGAATTTTAGAGTGAGCGAATAACTACTTCGAGTCTGCACAAAACAACCATGATGTTATTTTTAGCGAGATTTAGTTATGTTATGGATCCATACAAAATGTAGTGGGTGTGTTCTTTTGTGTTTTGTGTTTCTGATTTAAAATTTTTTGAGATAATTTGGATTGATGTGATGTTTTGTGACAAAATTTATCGATGTTTATAAAACACATCAAATGCAACCTTTTAAGGTACATGCCAAATTGCACAATTAGGAACATCTGTTGTAATTATTGCTTCTACTCAACTTCTTTCATAAAGATAAAGTAAAAAATTGTTACTTTTAAATGTAAAGTTTCAAGTAAATGTAACTTTATATATATATATATATATATATGTATATATATATATTACAACGAACTTTTCAAGTTTTAAAGTAGTTAAATTCAGTATCATTTCAAAGAACATTTCGAGGCAGTTAAATTCAATATCGATTATCATTTCAAGGGATATTGCTTCTTCGTCACTAATCGAACTTTCTGGTAGAACACTTCATATCTACACTGACTTTCTTCATCACTTTGTTGTTAACAGGTTGTCTCGTTATAAAAGAATGTTTCATTGGGTGGTTTAGTGACGATCTCATATGGGGACAGTCGAATTGGTCTTGTTAGAGACTCCCATTTGTGGATAAATAATTAGTGGTTGTATTTCTCTAATAGTTCGAGCTTTTAGGTGACACGGTCATTCTATATCTGACAAGTCTAACCGGTAAGATCGGATGAGATGGTGACTTGTTTTTTGTGAGAAATAAATTATAAAAACTCAAAAATTGTATTATTATTCATAACGAAAATATATGCTTATAAATATACATAATATACTGGCTCGATAGACTCAAATTTAAATAAGATAAGAATTCACTCAACTAATAAAAAAAGAAATTGCGTGCACAAAGCGTATGTTATATGAGTTGTGTTCATGATTCGAGCACATAATGGTCGAATAAAGAAAAGCATTTTAACATCAATTATGATCGTTGTTTCTAACATGAGTTCAATGACTTTGATACTCTTAATATCGACAAGTTCACAATAATTGTGTGTTGATTCCTGTAAATGGAAAAATGGCTGAAAGGACTATCAAAATCTCATTGCTATGGATAAAATTGCAAAAAATATCCCACATGTATACTCGATATCACTTTTGTTATGTATTTATTGCTGGCAAAATATATTCTATATATTTGCAAAATTCGCTATATCTATTCTTTGGCCGCCCGTGATTGCGCGGCCAAAGGACAAAAATAACGACTTTTGAAAACAGGTAGGATATATTTTGGCAGCGACATAAATACATGACAAAAGTGATAATGGGGTATACATGTGGAATATTTTTGGCAATTTTCCCATTACAATGCTACTATGTAGCAAGAAAGAGATAAATGGTATCTCGTAAAGGAGGATCTGGTGGTGTAAGTATTGGACTTGTATCCTGAAATCATGGGTTCAAACGCATATATCAAGACACTGATTTTTTTACAAAGAAAACAACATATATATACTAAATCTAAAACATATCCCATAAAATACAAAATAGACACAAAATATTCACCTAATAAAAACAACGAGGAATAAGACTAAGGTTGTTGAGGCGGTGATTTATACTCGAAATGAACGGACAAGATCAAATGTCTAGATCCGATGGTTGAAATTAACGGCGGGGCTTGGCAGGCCTCGATGGGCTGTCCAGGCCCAGGCATATAATTAAATAAGGCCACGACCAGAAAATCTATCACGACCAAATTCCTTAACAAGGAACATAATAAAATCTTTGGACAATGACATTAAAAAAATATAATACACTAAGGCTGTGTTTGTCTGGGGGTTTGGATTTTGAGTTGGGATTTGAATAGTAAAAAATTTGAATTTAAATAGTTGTATGATGTGATATAAATAGGTGTTGATATGATGTTTTGAATGTAAAATTAATTTTTAGTATAATATAAAAAATAAAAAATAGGTGTTTAATTTGATATTTTTTGGGGGAAAAAATTAGATGAATAGTGTAAATCCAATCCAATCCCCCAAACAAACACACCAACAAGAGTCATCATGTTCCTCAAATATTGATCGGGAAACATGTCCATAGGGTAACTAAAATTAGACATAATTGCTCGTGGTCAAAATCTAAAATTAAATCTTGGGTATTCTTATAAAAATAAATCTGATTTAGAAAGGTTTCAACATGCCTTGAGGAACGTGTGTTTCTTCATTTGTTTATTAATTTTATTTCTAATTTCTATTTTTTTTTTTTCTAACTTTATATATGCAAATTTCAAGAACATGATCATTAATTAAAGAATTTAAATTCACTTATAGTTTGAATTTGATAGTTTTTTATTACATGGTGTTTTTATTTTCGTCTGTTTTCAAATTTTAAATATATATGATCAAAGAATACACAAGAGATTACTATTTTTAGGGAACTTATTCTTTTGATTTCCATGTTAATTTTTAATGTGAAAAATATTTTCATGGTGGCTAATCTCGAAAGTAAAAGATTAATTATTTACAGCTTTTGTACATGAAATTCATCACTATAATTTTATATATTTTTTAAAACAAATGAAAAGAATAATTATGAGGTTGGTGTATTAATGAATTAGTTGGCAGGCAAGGAAAATAAATTATTGAGTTGGTGAATTATTGTTTATGGTTGGCTGATAAATGAAATAAGTTGGTAAGAATTTTGTATAAATAGCGAAGTGAATTGTACATATGGTCATCAAAACAGAAAAAAAAAAAAAAAGAAAAACGTTTATGTAACTACCAATAAAAGTCGTCACTAGCTTGTCCTAAAAACGGAAATTGCACGAAGAAAAGGTTTTAGTTACGGTTTTTTTTGGTAGTAACAGTAAGCAGATTTTTTGGTAGTGGTAAAAGCATGTGTTAGTTTTTTTTTTTTTTTTTTATGAAGTAGGAACCCGCATCCGCTACCCGAAAGTGCGCACTGGATAAACCTCCGGCCGAACCTAATACCCTGCAGACCAGCATGTGTTAATTGTTTTGCAATGATGATTCAGTCGACGCTGCAAATGATCGATATAAATTGGAGGCTTTTGAAAGCTGAAAATAGTGTTGGATTTGGGTTCCTTCAATGTGTGAAGCCCAAGAATTCAAGTTAACTAAAAAGAGTTAAGCCCATTTTTGTCAATGGCTGCCCTAGCCTCATAGTTGGGAGATGGGTCATTTTTTGGTGCTTGGTGCAGAGATTTTGAGAGAGGAACAATTGGTATCTACGACACCTGAAAGAATCGACAAGCAAAAGAGAATTTCTTCAACTCGATTCCGATCAACGGTCTCATATCCTTGGATGTTTTTTCTTATATCGTTTTACTGTTTACTTGTTTGGATTCGATTTTGAATCTTATTGGTCGGGGATTGGAATGAGTTGCTAGTAGTTGGGAGATCTCTTGTGATTGGGGTTCGATTCTTGTAATTAGGTGTGGAGTTTGATAGCCCTTTTGGTTGTGGTTATCTTTGATTGTATGAACTTTTTGATATAGTAGATTTTTATCCTTCATTTGAAGAGTTTTTTTTCGCTGTTAAAAGTTTTGGTGTCTCATATTGTTATTTCTATTGTTTATTAGTGATTAACATTCATCGTATTTTGGTAGAAAGAATAATTGATTGAAGAGAAAATGTTTGATGGAACAGTTTGAACACCCTACTTAGGCGTGACTTAAGGAGTACATCGCATCTGATTTTTGTTTGCATTTTGGATTTTCTCCCAGCAAATAGTTCTAATGTTTCGAGGACATGGCTTTCTAGGGTTGTCAAGTTTTTTCATGTGAGTTGTTTCCCTTTTAAATCTATCATTTTAATAGAATATTGACATTGTTCTAATTGCAATTGTTTTTTTTCACCAAAATGTTTATCTTCAGGCCCAAGTAGCTTCTATAACTATTGTAGGATACACAAATAACAAGGGAAGATGTTTCAGCTTGGATACACAAGTAACAGAGAATAAATTCCATGGCTTCATCTTCTTGAAATTAACCTACACTGCTAATAAGGGAAAGGTAACTTCTGATTTATATATTAGTTGAATTGTATGGATTAATGTTCTTCATGCTAAAAATTGTTCCTCTTTCAGGGATGATATCATGTCTGTTCTTCTAAATTTGGCATTTCGAATGCTTAGATGTGAAAGCTTTACCTCTATCAAGATCAAGTTGGATTAATATATGATTATGAAAAGATGCCCTCTTGAAGATATTATTATGGTCCTCTGCATAGAGATCCCGACTTCTGAAGGAGCAGCACAAAAAAGAACTTTGATTGTGAGGGTAGATTTTAGGTTAATATTTACATTATAGCAACTACCTTGTAATTGTTGATATTTTAGCCACAAAATTGTACTTTAGGAGGTTTTGTATATAAAATAAGACTTTAATTTGTTTTATATCACAATTAATATATACCACAAATTACTATAATTGAGAAATGAAACCCTAAAGAGATCGAGAAAGAAACCCCAACCTCAATAACAGTTTTCACCATTGGCGTCGACTTCCACTTCTTCCTGATCGGGCTGTAAAAACTGGCGTAGTTATAGTGCTTTGATTTTCTCATTCTAATTATTATCAATGTAAATGTTTGTCTTATCTTATATACATTAGAAGAAAAAGAAGTTTTAACTACAACTTTCTTACTGAAATTACAATTCAAGATTTATTTATTGTAACATATTTATTTATCTTAAGTTCGACCGGGGTTTACCTAGTGCGCACTCTTGAGTAGCAGCTGCGGGTTCCCACATTATATAAAAAAATAGAATGCCGCGGAAAATTTGGCACAACATGGCATGGAGGTATGCTAGTGATGACAAAATACCACACCGATTAATAAAATAATTTTTCGACGTCGAAATATGCTCCTCAATAATTATTTATGCCCCCAAAAAATAATAATTAACTTAGAAAAATAGATCGAATTTGGTGAAAAAAAAAAAAATGATCGACGGCCATATTGGTTGTGCCTTCAAATTACTTTATTTTATTTTGTCGTGGTTAGGTAATTATATTTTTATTACTCTATATTTCTCTTTATATATTTATACACTTGTGTTTCAATTTGTTTTGAAAATAAATTTGTATTTTTTCTTAATTTTAGTTTTAATAATAATTTTACCATTTAATAGCAAGTAAGTGGTTTGACGTACTCCACCATCCTATGTAATATGGACGTATTACTGTAGACACGAGGAATTTAGGTAAAATAATTAGTAAGTAATTAAGAAATGTATTAGTAAAAATAATTATTATTTAGTAAAAATAATTATAAATTAAGATTAAAATAACTAAATAGTTTAATTAAGATTAAAAAAAATTTAAATTTTAAATTTTAAAATATGATTAAAATATAGAATTAATTTTCCAAAAAATGAAAGGACAAATTATGTGGAACGGACGAAAATAAAAAATAGAGACAAATTATGTGGGACGAAGGGAGTAATATTTTACCATCAACGGAGGGCTCCGACAATTTCTAGGACAGATCGACAACCTCCAAGTGACGCACAATGTTCAACTCCGGCGGATCAACAGTGGTGGTTCCCGACGGTCGGCGGCTAGGCGCAGCGGGACAGCGATTCCAGGCAGCTCTGACTAGCTGCCCTCTGGCGATTCCGAACGGCAACTGCTCCTTCTCCGGTGAACCAGCGGCTAGGCATCAAAGCTTCGAATCGCACCGATAGATATTCATCTTTCAATTCTTTTACCTGGCGTTAGGGATGAAAAGTTTCGGCTCAGTCCATGGTGCGAATGGGCCGAGATAATGACACGGCAAGGTTGCGGTCGGCTCCTTACTCTAAGCCTCGAGTCGGGGTATTTGCAATTTCCGTCCCTATATTTAACCGTCTTTTCAATTTGTGTCCCTATAACATTAATTTCGTAAAAAATGTCCTTCTTTTTTGCTAATCTGCACAAAATCTAGTCTAAACGGTAATTAGAAGAATATTAAAGGTAATTGAAGAATGGCGTTAACGGAGTAGGCACGTGCCACCCACGTGACCGTGCATTAGACCGAACCGGTTTTCATTAGACCCGGTTCTCCACCGAACTGGTTCGGTTCAATCCCGGTTCGGTTCGAACCGCTTCATATCTTCTCCACACCGATCTCATTCCCCCATTTCTCAGTCCAATCGCTGATGGGCTGCGTTTCCTCCGCTCTGCTTAACCAGGATGACGACTTCTCCCAAATCGGCGCCTCCGCCGCTTTCAGCCACCACATTGTGTCCCTCACCTCCACCACTTACGGCCTGTTGACCCTCGACGCGCTGGAAACTGAAGCGCCGGCGAAGACAGTCCTCCCGCCGCCGCGGACCACTCTCGGCTCCCTCTTCCCCAGCCCACTTTCCGAGCCCCGGTCGCTCCGGCACCAGCCATGCTTCAAGACCATCAATTCTTGGGACCTCATTTCCGGACTCGATTCCGACCATATTCCCAGCTTCCGATTCGCCCCTTCCAAGATTTCAAATAATCCTCCCGTCGTCGGCGGCAACAACGAGAATCTTAGCCCCAACGTCGGAAACCGGCAGCCGCCGCCGTCGTCTTTCGCCAAGGATCTGAACCAGTTCCTGAAGGGATTCAAGCGGATCTGCCCGCCGAACGGGGAGAACAAAGTGGTGCTGTACACCACCAGTCTTCGAGGAGTCGGAAGACCTTCGAGGACTGCAATGCCGTCTGATCTGCGATTCAGGGATTGGGGATTCCGGTGTGCGAGAGGGACATCTCCATGGATAGAGGGTTCAGGGAGGAACTGAGGGAGCTGATGAAGGGAAAGAACGGCGGCGAATCGGTGGTGCCTCCGAGGCCGTTTGTTAAAGGGAGGTACGTCGGTGGCGTGGAGGAGGTGATGAAGACCGACTGGACTGAGATCGGTGTGGAGAAGATATGGAGCGGTTCAAACCGAACCGGGATTGAACCGAACCGGTTCGGTGGAGAACCGGTCTAATGAGAACCGGTTCAGTCTAATGCACGGTCACTTTGGTGGCACGTGCCTACTCCGTCAACGACGTTCTTCAATTACCCTTAATATTCTTCTAATTACCGTTTAGACTAAATTTTGCATAGATTAGCAAAAAAAAAGGACATTTTTTACGAAATTAATGTTATAGGGATACAAATTGAAAAGACGGTTAAATATAGGGACGGAAATTGCGAATACCCCTTCGAGTCTAACATAAAACTTCCATGATGTTACCTTTAGCAAGATTTAGATATGTATGGGATGCATACAAAATGCAATGGATGTGTTCTTTTGTGTTTTGTGTTTCTGATTTAAATTTTTTGTGATCATTTGGATTTAATACAATAATAAAAAAAAAAAAAAAAAATTCAAATACTCATTACAAAAGTAAAAAAAGTCAAAAAAAAAAACCTGAAATATTCATTACAAAAGTCAAATATTCAACTTAAAATAATATATTTAATATTTTTAATACAATTTTTCATATCACATACAAAAAATCATTTTATCTAAAAATGCTGGGTGAACGAGAGCCACTTATTTTAACCCTATTAATGCCTTGTGTTTCAAGAAATTTGTATGAGAGTAAAACAAAATAATGTTGCGGAAATTGGAAATCAAGAAAGCACATAAGAAGATAAGATTTGTTGACTCAGTTTGATCAGAATGATCTCTAACCAAATATTTTTACTAGTGTTTTTAGGTGTAACTTACATAAAAAAAAAAAACAAAAAAAAAAACACATCAAGTATATAGAGATTGTCTAGGTCATAACCCTAGCGGGCGGCCCAATAAATTGTACAAATAACCCAATAATCTCGAGGGGTTGGATGTACGGTACTTCTTCATGCTACAACTTGAGCTTCACAACATAACAAAAAACACTCGAAATTTATGCAAAATTCGATCATGTTAAATGCTTGGAGAATTTTGTGTATGAATCAGAGTGTTTTTGTGTATTTCACTCTGTATATTATTATGTATATATATATATATATTTCAAATAAAGACAAAGAACAGTATTGGTAAATGACTGAAGTTCCTTTTCATTTAAATTGAACAGATCCAACTTAATTTTTGAACCGAAGAGATGCAATCCATTCTAGTTGCCATATTCAAATTCGAGTTATTTAGAAGGTTTAGTGTATGAACTTATTAAATCTAATTTGTAATTTGAAAATGATACTTTTCAAATTAAATTTAAGAGACGTCAATATTTGAAAATTACATAACTTTCTAGGAATTTGTAACATTACTAGAATTTTGGGTACTAAGGAGAAAAATTTTAGTACTCTCATTCATTTAGTCATGATCATGATTAAGTCATTCTCGTCTATTTTCCGCATTCATTTTTTTATTCCGCACTTCTTCATTCCATATGGTATTGGCATCATTTGAGAGCACACCCCATGTAAACTTTGTTGAAGATACAATATCTCTTATCTTCGAATGAATCTAAAGACAAAAAAATAATAATTAATAATAACTATCAGTACTAACAAAAACAATAATTGAAAATTTACAAATTTCTTTTAAAAAACATTAAAATAAATCTACTCTCCACAAATCATCAATGAAACTAAAGAATGTGTTTTTGTTCGACTTTTCGAACATTATTTCTAACTATTAAATCGCTATTCACCAAAATTGTGCCATAGAGTTTATATGTTCTCAGACTTCCAATGTCGCATTGCTGTATAAATTAGTGTTTATATACGTGCATTAAAAATACTTTTTTTCCTAGTTTTATTATTTGGATATGTATTATTAATAAAATTCAGAAGACTAAAGAAATAATGTTGGATCACACGCCTGTTTCTTTATTCTCATTCATCACAAATATATAGAAGATTATACGCACGAAAAGGTAAGGCTAAAATCTCTCCCTAAAATTTTTCCTACTTAAAATACAAAGATATTTCTACTAGAATTTCTCTATACCCAAAATATATATAAACATTCCTTAATAATTATTGAGAAAAAAGTTGTTAGATCATCTTTCAAATGCTTTCTTTATTCAAATATATTAAGCATTTTCTCATTTCAAATAAATTCAAAAAAAAAAAAAATCCTTCAAAGTTCAAACACATACCAAGAGCCAAATAAAACACAAACATAAATTTTCAATAAAAGTAAAAAAGTAATAGTCATGAGTGAGAACTTTTGTTTGCCCAATTGATCATAAATAATCAATTTTAGTAACACAATATGCATATAAGAAGAATTTTATTAAATCCAAAAGCTTTGTAAGTAAATTCAAATTTTAAGTGCACGCATGGTAACATAATTAGTAAAATTGGCATGTCACTTATGACAAAATTTTTAATTTCAAAGTGTAATATTTTCCATGATTAAAAATGATCGAAGTTTATACCATATTAAGTCTAATAATATTCCTGTCCATTACTATATAAATTCATTACAAGTTTCTGTACAAATTTTCATCAACAAATAATTAAGGGGGAAAAAAAGGATCGAAAAAATGGCGATGTCGATGAAGCTCATTCTCTCCATTCTTTTCATCTACTCATTGGTTGAGCACAATGTTTGTGCCCAAAAACCTGTGTTGTACAATATTAGAAGGTACGGCGCAAAACGAAATCAAGACATCGCCAAGGTAAAAATGCGACGCTATGTTGTAATGCTAGTCGAATATACTTGAACTAATATTTCTTATGCACACATCCAATAGGTTCTATCGAACATATGGAAGGAGGTCGTTGGGTCGACAAGGCCAAGCAAAATATTGATCCCAAAAGGTACGTGGTACCTTAGCCAAATAAATATTGGAGGCCCTAACAAGGCGCCGGTAGAGCTTAATGTACGTGGAACCGTGAACGCGCCTGTTGATTTCACGGTGATGCCGGACAAGAAAGCGCAATGGATTACTATACAGCACGTGAATAGTTTCACCATAACCGGTGGTGGTGTTTTTGACGGGCATGGCCAAGAGGCGTGGAAGAAAAATGATTGCGTTAAAAATCGCAACTGCGTTCAACTTCCTATAGTAATTTATCGACAAGTCCAATACTATTTACTCGTTTTTTTTTTTTTTTTTTTTTTTCAATTTAAGCTGTTCGAGAACTAACTCGAGCTGTTGTTTTGTGTGCGTGCGCGCGTGTTTTTTTTTTTTTTTTGTAGAACTTGAGCTTCTCGGCAGTGAATAACTCTCTGATTGAATATGTGACCTCGAAAGATAGTAAGAATTTCCACGTGAAATGTATCGGATGCCAAAATGTTGCATTTCGCCATTTCACAATTTCGGCGCCTGGAGACAGCCCTAACACAGACGGCATTCATGTGGCGCGCTCCTCAAACGTCAACATTACAGATTCGGTAATAAAAACAGGGGATGACTGTGTCTCAATCGGAGATGACACTCGCGAGCTCCATATCCAAAATGTGGCGTGTGGGCCGGGCCACGGCATCAGCATAGGCAGCCTCGGAAGGAATATAAATGAAAAGGATGTGTCGGGGATATACATAAAAAACTGCAACTTCACCAACACTGAAAATGGAGTAAGAATAAAGACATGGCCGTCTGCACCGGCCGTGCTGACGATATCAAACTTGCAGTTTCAAGACCTGATCATGGAAAATGTTGGCACCCCAATCGACATCAATCAAGAATATTGCCCGTATAATTTGTGCAAGAAAACAGTACGTACAATTACTTTCTCAATTCGATAAAAAATTTCAACAGTTAATTATTTCTTACACACTTTCACTAATCGACATCTACAGAGTCCATCTCAAATCAAGATCAGCAATGTTGTCTTAAAAAATATCAGAGGCACATCAGCGACGCCGGAGGCAGTAATTCTCGACTGCAGCAAAAGTAAACCGTGTGAGAATGTGGTAATCGGCGACATCCATCTACGATACAAAAGGGGTGGAAATTCTCGAGTAAAAAGTGCGCGAAGTGTATGCGCCAACGTGAAACCAATACTCAAAGGCAAACAAGATCCACCAATATGTGCACATAAACCATTCTGATACAGATAGAATAGAAACTGAGACTTAATTCCTATGCTAAGTTATTATTCAGCTGGCAAAGTATTGTACACAAAAACCATCAAGAATCTTATTATCTTAATTAGAATAACCAAGATAAACCTATTGGAAGTAATTCTTACCTAGTCGAATTTGTTAATTAAGTGGTTCTAATTTGAATTGATTTGAAATTGAATTTGAATTTGAATTAATATCTTGAATAATTGTTTCTATGAATAGTTTACCTATATGGGCTATAATATAGCATATTGTAATGCATGAAATCAATGAAAATCTTCTAGATTTCTAGTATCCATTTTTGGTTGTATATTGTTAAGGAAGATAAACATGTATGTATTTGGTTGTGTAAGGAAAGATGTATCACATACATATTGTAATCTAATGCATGAAATCAATGAAAATCTTTCTCCATTACTATTATCCATTTTTTATTATGCCAATTAAGGAGAATTGATTATGAGAAGAGCTTTGCTTTAGATGCGGAAATGGAAAGGTTTCTCTCCGGGGGTTGAATTTTGAATTGAGATTTGAATATTAAAAATTTTGAATTGGAATAATTGTATGATGTGATTTAAACATGTATTGGTGTGATATTTTTGAATGTAAAATTAATTTTTAGTATAATATAAAAAATAAAAAATAGCATTAAGAAAGCTTAGGAAATAATAATAATAATAATAATATTTATTTATTTATTTATCCCATTATTATTGGTTATATTAAAATATAATTTTAATTTTATCTCATATTTTTTTCTATAATTACCTAATCCAGTTATAATTATAAAATTAAACTCTAACCATATTTTTTCTAAAATTAATATCATCTTCATCTTCCTTTAAAATTTGTAGTTATTATTATTGTCGTTAGTATATTTTATTTATTGGATATATTATTAATATAATTTTTACTTTTGTATTGTTTATTATTATATTTGTCCTTTATAATCTTTCGAAAAAAAAATAATAATCATTTTTTTACCAGACTTACTATTTAATTTTTGCTTAAGTCCCTGGAAAAATTCGAGACAACATTGTTAGAAATAAAAAAAAAAAAAAAAAAAAAAAAAAAAAAAAAGTTGAAATTTTTAATCACTCTCAATATGTTTTATTGGATTTGCTAACAAGAGACATTTCCTAGTCTTTAACCAATTTGACAATTCTCGAGTTTATGATGCTCGGAAGTAAGATACACTGTCCAAATAAGATTTTGGAATAATTTTTAAAAAAATAATAGATGTCTCCCTACTGGTTGTAGTCGGAGTAGATTGGCACCCTGAAGATGCCTATCGTCACGGGCAGCCGGGCAGCATGAATGTTGCATGTGGTTGTGGCCTGGACATTTATATAGTAGATAGTCGGGTGTAGGGATGGCAATGGGTCGGGTCTAGTCGGACCCGAGATCGGGCCTGAATACAAATGGATTGATCGGAGACTCGAATCGGACCCGATTATACTCAGATTTAACTATATCTGGATCTGATCCGAACAATATCCGATAAGACCCGACAGACCTGAATTTTTTTTACAATTCTTAAAATTTAACTTAAAATTAGATTCGAACTCGAACTCGGACTCGGACCCCACATATGTAGTATTAGAATTTATATATTTTATTCAAAAATATTATAATAAAATAATAAAATAAATAAATTAAACTAAAAAATATTTTAAATATAATTTATATTATTAAAAAATAATTGTTTTCATATATATAATTAATATGGTAGTAATATTAATCGGATCCAGATCCGAGTCTGGATAGGGTCCACCCTTGGACCCGAGACCCGACTCGGACCCAATAAGGGTATACAATACCCGATTCGGACCCGGACCCAATACTCGAATAATTGGATCCGACCCCAAATAAATAGATCGGGCCCACTACAAAAAAATAATATATTTGTAACAGAATTCCGTCCCTAAAGTTCACGTAGCTAAACGTAATTCCGTTTCTAATTCTGTCTCTAATGTCATTAGTAACGGAAAAAGTAAATTTAAAAACAAAAATTTTTTTCTTGTAATATATATCGGGTGTGTGACTGAGCTTTCATCCAAGTCCGGGTGGTCTAGATGATGACTGCTTTGATTGCCGTAATGACATGGAGAATTTGATGCAGCTTATGTCGAAAAATTAATTAAAAAAAGAAAAAAGAATGAAAGAATGAAACCTTGCATCACTCAATTAACGATGGAATCTGAGTTTATAGCCTTGGCTGCAGCCGGTAAAAAGGCAAAATAGTTGCGCAACCTGATACACGAGATTTCATTATGGATGAAACGAGTTATATCAATATATTTATTTGTTCTTAGTAAGCTAACCACTTGACAAAAGGGTTGGCGCGCGACTAAGTGCACAAGTAGGGATGTCCAATTAGATTTTCTAAATATGAGAGACCCAATTTTCCTCCCTTACAATGCTAGACGCAGAATTCAATGTAAAAGCTCACATTCAGAAATTCGAACACATAATTCGTATCATCCCAAAGTATGTGTTTGGTCTTGCAATTGTTTAGGTTGATGTTTAACTTCTTAATAGTTCCTTCGAAAAAGTGTAACGCAGGTGCACGGTTTATATGAACTACCTATGCGGAATTGTCCGCTTTAAAAAGCTCAGACTATGCTTTTTATGCACCTGTGAAAAGTCTGTTTAAAATCTTAAAATAAAATAAATAAATAAATAAATAATAATAATAATAATAATAATGATAATAATAATAAAAGATCAGCTACAAAATTAAAAAACAATTTATCTTTTTTTTTTAAAAAAAATGTCAAATTAAATAATTATATCAAATTCACACGCATCAAATAATATAAAACAAGTATACTTTAATTTATCAAAATATAGATTAGTTTAATTTCCAAATTCTTAATTATTTTTAATAATTTTTATTAATAATGACATACTTTCTAAATTTTAAATTTTATAATTAAATTATTGAAAAATTTATTTAAGATCATCTTAACGTCTTAACGGATATTATATATATATTAAATTTTTAGAAATAAAAATTAATATTTAAAATTATTATAAATTTCAATCAAATAGTAATTTATATTTATAAAATTTAATATAAAATATATAATTAAAAAGATCTTTTAATTTGATTTTGCCCCTGCAAACGTCGGGAGCTTCCCTATCAATAATATTTATTATAGACTTATCGTATCTAACCCTTAAAGAATGTGGTCCACAAAAGACTTTCGACCTAAGGCCCTCCTTACTTGCCCGGCCCAATTCATAAAAGCTCGCTTAACTTTCACATTTGATGTGGAACATTGGATCAAGGCATTTGGTCATCACCATTCATTTCAGGTATAAATATCCTATTCGCCGGCTTTGGTCACATTCCTAACCTTCGCCTTCTTTATGAGATGCCGATTTCTCTGAGTTATTTTTCCATTCCATCACTATTCTCGACACATTCAAGCTTGTGAGTTGACTTTCTTTCTATTTCTTCCCTTTTCTTTGTTAGAAAACTTTGTGAGGATTTCTCTATGTTTTTTTTTGTAGATTAAACTTTGTGTTTGTTTGTGCTTTATATTTTGTTTTTGAGGAATGTTGTCTTGGTTCTTTGTTTTTCTTGGTCTTAATTTATTGAATTTTTTGAGTGGTACGGATCCAAGCCTACATATATAAAAAGGAGTTGTATTATTATTTTTTTATATATATATCTTTTTTGTGTCTACGGGTTATATTATAGATTTAATATATTTTTTCCTCTAATAAGTTTTTTCTATAATATATATATATATATATATATAAATGTTGTGAAATTTTGGTAGATGCAAAACTTAAATGCCTAAATGTCTTGAAATGTCTTGGGACATAACTTAGTAATTTCCGGTAGTAAACTTGATGCTGATGGTGATTATATTATCGATTTATTGGTTAAGTATTGCCCCGATGTACTTGATTTTATTGTGTAGGTTTACGAGTGTTAGATGATCTGAATGACCAGTTTCACCGTCATCTAACAATAAGCATATATCTTTATTTTTCCAAACACCACTTTCTATAGAAAGGAAATGCCACTTTAGGTATTATCTAATTTTAAGGAAGCATGAAATGCAATTTTAATTAAATTATTTTTCAAGTGACATACTTTATTATAATGAAAATTTTTTTTAAGTTTGTTTGCAATTTTTATTCTTTTATTCCACTGAGTTTAATTACATGGTTGGTTAATCAATGTTTGTAGTTAATAAAAACCATTTTTTTTTAGTAGGTAGGTGAATTGGTTGGCAGTTAAATTGATACTCCATCTGCCTAGTAAAATTTGTAGGTTTGGTTTGATAGCAAAATTAAAAAATAATAATATTTTAATGTTAAAATAGGTAATAAAAAAAATAGATGTATTATAAAAAATTTATAATTGATAAAAAAAAAAAAAAATAGTGCTTACGTATTAGAAAAATAGCGGTAAATTCATTATTATTTTGTTAAAATAAAAATAATATAATTGTAGATGAATAAAATTATTTACTATAAATAAATTGGGCATAAATTTAGCTAAAAAATAATAATAAGAACTAGTTAGAAAGTATATATTAGCAAGTTGCTGGAAAAATATATATAATTAATTAATATATTAGCATTAGGTGAATTAAATGTATAGGTATTTGGTAGCCAATTAATATATGGTTTTTTGATAGTTAATAAATATATCTACAGGTAAGTGAATTAATGCATGTTTAGTAGGTAAATTATGAGTATTTTTGTTGCCTATAAATAGAGATGTGGATTGTTGGTATACCACAAGTGAAATTATTTTAAGATAACTCAAATATTGTACTATTATTTATAATTAAAATCGGGGCTAGACACGCCCCAACTACTCTAAAATAACTAAAATATCTCTAGCATTGCCTCAAACTCAAATAGTGTTGCATAAACAACATGAGTTTGTAAGGAAAGATCGAAGATAATGTAGCCAGAATCGTCCACTGTGTTAGAATCAGAAGCAATGGCTTTCAACT